CCCCCCCCCCCCTCCCCCTCCCTGGGGGGATTCTGGGCAGGGGCCCTCCCCCTCCGCCACGCCCCCCCGTCCCCAGCCCCTCACTGGGGGGGGGACTCTAGGCAGGGGCTCTACCTCTGAGCCACGCCCCCCCTCCCCAGCCCCTCACTGGGGGGACTCTAGGCAGGGGCTCTACCTCTGAGCTATATCCCTAACCTCATGGCTCACTTTCAAAGACTTTGTGTTTTCAAAGTTACTGTGTGTAGTGACCTAGATTAACCCCATTGTTTCCTTAGAATCTTCTTTGTGTCTGTGAAGCCAGAGGTCAAGGTACCTCTTCATTTCTAGAAAGTTCACTCTCTGTTTCTGTCTCTGTGTGCCCCCCCACCCCCGGAGGATCTCTCTTTCTTAAAGTTCATTTCTATTTTATGCATATGAGTGTTTTGTCTGCATGCATGTGTGTTCACCACATACATGTCTGGTGCCCTCCAAGTCAGAACAGGACATTGGGTCTCTTCCAACTGGAGTTACAGATGTTTGTGAACCATCATCTGGGTTCTGGGACTTGAACCCAGTCCTCTGGAAGAGCAACCGGTACTCTTAACTTTCTTAACTATCTCTCCAGCCCTCTTAATCTTCCTTCTCCTTCTCCTTCTTCTTTTGGCTTTCCTGGAACACTGTTATGCCACTACAGAACACCTCTGTAGACCAGGCTGGCCTTGAACTCACAGAGATCTACCTGCCTCTACCTCCTGGGTGCTGGGATTAAAGGCGTTCACCACCACTGCCCAGTTAATCTTTCTCCTCTTAATCAGTTTTTATTTTGGGGGGGGTTGTTTGTTTGTTTTTTATTTTTTGAGACAGGTCTCACTGTGTACTCTGGATAATCTAGACATTGCTATGTAGCCCTCAAATGCACAGAGATCCACCTGGCCCTGAGTCCTGAGTGCTGAAATGTAAGGTGTGTGACACCATGCATTAATTGCCTTGATAAATTCTCCAGATCTCCAAAAGGAATCAGCTCTTGGTTTCCCTGGTTTTTCTGGCTGTTTCTGCTCACTCCCCACTTATTTCTTCTCTTATTTCTGTCTTCTTCCTTTCTGTTTGCTGCATTGTCTGTTTGCCTCTCACGTTTACTCACTTACTGGATTTGTGGGGGTGGGAGCACACTTGGAGGAGAGAGGACCACTTGTGGGAGTCAGTTCTCTCCTTTCATTCTGTGAACCCTGGGAATCGAACTCAAGCCATCAGGTTTGGCTTCAAGCACCTTCAACTACTGAGCCATCTCACTGCTCTACCTTTCTGGCTTTTTTTTTTTTCAACTCTAATATGACCTATTTATGCGATAGTATTCTATGCTATTTATTCTACACACTGACTCAGCCCTATCCTTTTCTTTTTCACTCAGTTAAAACTATTTTCTGCTGAGTGTGCTTTTGTGCCAGCACTCAAGAGGCAATGGCAGGCCAGCCTGGTTTGCACAGTGAGTTCTGAGTTATCCAGAGGTACACAATTAAACAAAAGAAAAATCCCTTATTTTCTCATTCTCCAATCATTACAGATCAGAGGCCAAAAGTTGGTCCCTACAGCCCATCATCCCGAGTTCGAGGCTTATCTCTAGCTCCTCCTAGCTGTGTGACCTTGGCCAATTTGCTTAACTGCTCTGGGCCTCAGTTCTTCCATCTGTGAGTAGAAGAAATAACAGTATCTACTTTGCTATAAATTGTTCAACCCCCTCCAAAACTCTCTCCTGCCCAGGACTGCCTCTTCCCACCTGGGGTAGTGATGGAGACCTGGATCCCTTTGTGAGCCAATCCACTGTCCCCCAGGGCATTGCTGGCCAGCAGCCAGATCCTGTATCTTGTGGAAGGCTTCAGTCCAGTCAGTGTGAAGGTGGTGGCCTCGGGTGGCAGGACATCAGCGTAGAGAAATCCCGGAGCCTCGAGTGTCTCATACCTGTGTGTGGAGAGCAGTCAGTTCAGCCAGTCTCTCACCACTGTCTGGCCCGTTTCCCCTGCCTTGGTGGAGGCCCCACCTGATTTGGAAGCGCTGAGGCAGACCCCCGTCAAAGCCAGGCTTCCACTCCAGCCCTACCGAGTTGGGGGTCACGCTCACGACCTTCAGTCCCAAAGGAGGGTCAGGGCGGCCTAGGGAGAGAAGGGAGGGGATTGTTAATAGATACAAAAGGAGCCTAGAAGTTCCCTTCTAGATTCTCCTAGAATCTAGATGCATACCAGATGGTTGGTTCTTGTTCACGGTTGCTACTCTTAGTAAGTTCACCTCAGGGGGTGGAGAGATGCCTCAGTGGTTAACAGCACTGGCTACTCTTTCAGAGGATTGTGGTTTAATTCCCAGCACCCACGTGCAGCTCACAGCCACCAGTAACTCCACAGGCACCCGGCACACAAGTAATTCACAGATATACATGCTTCTGGTGGAAACTACCTCCCTCCTAGCAGGAGGGACATGTGACTAGGCTTGTCAGTCAGTATGATGTTGAAGTGAAGCCAATGAGGTCCAAATCTAATATCTCAGAGTCATTAGAAGAGAAAGAGCTGTATTCCCAGGTTAAGGTGTAACTCAGTGATAAGGGACTCACCCAACATACTCAAGGCCCTAGATCTGACATCCTGCAACCCCCTGCCCCCCTCCCCAATAAAACAAACCAGCTAGGCCTGTTGACTCTCAACTGCAATCCTTTGGAAGTTAAGGCAGAAGGATTGCCATTTTGAGGCAGGTTTGGCTACATAGCAAGCCTGAGGTTAGCCCAGGCTACATAGCAAATTGGAGGTTATCCTGGGTTATAGAGCAAGATCTTGTTTCAACAAAACAAAACCCCATTCTCATGCATAAACAGCTCTCAGAGATCAGAAACACTTCCTGGCCCTGGTCAAGCAGGAATTTGGCAAAGCTCAGTCCCCAACAGCTCCCAAGCCACTCCCACCATACCGATGCTGACGAGCTGGATGTCGGTATGGTCCGAACCGAGGGCATTGGTGGCCGTGCATGTGAAGAGGGCATAGTCTTGGGCTGCAGACACATTGGCAATGGTCAAGAGGCTACTGTGGACAACACCCTGGTGGTACCTGTGCTCTGTGTACCTGAAGAGAGGGCACGGTCAGACTCAGAAAGGAAAACCAGGCAGGGCTGGACGGCCAGAGCTGGGGCACGACCTGGCTATACCCAGGTTCACCTGGGATCCTGGAGATCCAGAGGGACCCCATTTTTGGTCCAAGTGAAGTCGATGTTGGGGACACCCCGGGCCCGGCAGTGGAGGGTTGCTGAAGTGGTGCTGTCCCCAGCTGCAGCCACTTTCGTTAAGGGGGTTGGATGATCCACCTGGGGGGCAACTGGAACAGATCGGAAGGATCCATACGGGGGACGGGGAGGTATGTGAGAGCTGCGGGTGGCGGCAGATGTTGAAGTTACCCACATCTGACAACAAGACGGACCAGCCCTCTTGCTGCCGGCTCCACCCCATTGTCCACAATGCACTGGTAAGCACCAGCCTGGGAGAGCTTGGCCTGATGGATCCGCAGACGCCCGGTGGATCCCTTTGATATCTTCTCCATGTCATCCAGGTTCAGATCATCCTCGTCTTCCCCCTAGCACCCCGAGATACAGGAGCTTGTTTCCGGGTCTGTCCTCAGACCACCCCCCAAACTGTATCTATCCCACCTGTAGCTTTGTTCTCCAAGCCACAAGCTCCTTCCACAAATTCAACGAACTATTGATGCTTCTTGTCATCCACACAACCACTAATCTAGTCCATCCATTCATCCACCAACTCGGCCAACCGTACACCTGTCTACGTGCTCATCATGCTTAGAACTGTCTGTAGACTCAGGGTGCAGCTTAGCCGGAAAGCATTTGCTTAGCGTGCTCAATACCCTGGGTTGTCTCAAGCACTAACAAATAAATTGACTGGGCTGCAGGTAGTGGTTCACCTGCCCTTGGGAGGAAGAGGCAAGAGAATCCCAAGGTCAGAGTCAACCTGGGCTACGTGGCAAGTTCCAGCCTGGACTACATATCGAGACCCTCTCTCAAATATATATGTCCTAGAATGGTAGTACATGCCTGTCACCCTAGCACTTGAAGGTTGGGGGAAGGAAGGTCAGGAATAATTCAATTCTTTGAGGGTAGCCTCAGCCACATAGTGTGCTTGAGGCCAACACGGGTTACATCACCAATGGTTCTCCTTTTCTTTTCTTTTCTTTTCTTTTCTTTTCTTTTTTTTTTTTTTAAGCAGGCGAGTTTTGTTACTGAATGTAACAATTCTACAAAGGCTAAGTAAGTAGTACTGTGTAGCCTCTCTGCCTTCTTAGTCCCTCAGAACTTCAGGCCGGACTGGCTTAAGGCATGAAGTATGAACTTTTTTTTCCCCTTGTTTTATTTTGTGCCAGATCTCACCAATTTTCACACAAAATGCTTTCTTTTTTCTTCTTTCTTCCCACTGCGGTTGAAGGGCTAGTGTTGGTTAAGTAAGAGGGTAGTGTCTGACTCCCAGTCAAGGTGTTAATGCAAAGTAACTAAAGATAGCAAGCAAAAAAACTGCATGGTATTGCATGCAAGCAAAGGACAACAGGAGTAACAAAGGGATTTGTTAAAGCATTTAATCAAATCGCTTTTTTAACAATCTATTTCTTTGTATGTGCAATGGTGTTTTGCCTGCATTTATGTCTGTGTGAGGGTGTTAGGTCCCCTGGAAATGGAGTTACAGACAGTTGGTGAGCTGCCATGTGGGTGCTGGGAATTGAACCCAGGTCCCCTGGAAGAGCAGTCAATGCTCCTAACCTCTGAACCATCTCTCCAGGCCCCACCAGTGGTTCTCAATCTTGCATATCATCCTGCATATCAGATACTTATACTAAGATTCCTAACAGTAGCAAAAGTACTGTTACGAAGTAGCAAAGAAAAGTGTTATGGTTGGGGTCACCACACAGTGAGGAGCTGCACTAAAGGGTCGCAGCCTTAGGAAGGCTGAGAGGACCAGGGCATCAAACCCCATCTCAAAAAACAACCATGGGCCTTCAAGATGGCCCTGGGGGTGCAGAGCCTAATAGTGGGGATTTGCTTCCTGGGAGCCAGTTGCTAGGAAACAATTGATTTTCACACTTATCTTTTGAGGGTCACAAGCATACTATGGTATGTCTGTGCTATACGCACACAATAAATAAACTTAAAACAGCAACAACAAAATGAACAAAACAATGAAACCTGCCCTACCCACTCATTTGTCTTTCCAGCCACTCACCCACCATTCAACAAACAAATCCTTTGTTTTCTTCCTTTACGATTTTAAACATTCTTTATTGTCAATTGTGGGTGTGCATGTTTGTTGTATGTGGATGAGTGCAGGCACGTGTGTGCAGCGATTTTAAACGTTATTATCAAACATGGGTGTGTGATAGGGGACGTCCTTCTGTGTACATGCTTCTCTTATTGGTTGATGACTAAAACACTGATTGGCCAGTAGCCAGGCAGGAAGTATAGGCGGGGCTACCAGACAAGGAGAAGACTGGGGAGAGGAAGGCAGAGAGGAGTCGCCAGGGGAGATGCCATGCTGCCGAAGGAGTAACATGCCAGATTACATACAGGTAAGCCACAGCCTCGTGGCAATCCATAGTTTAATAGAAATGGGTGGATAATTAAGAAAGAGCTAGCCGGTAAGAAGCCTAAGCCATTGGCCAAACATCTTATAATTACTATGTTTTAGCCCGGCGTTGGTGGCACACGCCTTTAATCCCAGCACTTGGGAGGCAGAGGCAGGCGGATCTCTGTGAGTTTGAGGCCAGCCTGGTCTCCAGAGCGAGTGCCAGGACAGGCTCCAAAGCTACACGGAGAAACCCTGTCTCGAAAAACCAAAAAAAAAAAAAAAATAAATAAAAAATACTATGTCTCTGTGTGTTTATTTGGGGGACCAGCGGAACAGAAACTCCATCTTCAGGTGTGTATGCGTGGCGTGTGTGGGTGAGCGCAGGCACGTGTGTGTGACGGCAAACAAGGGGATTACTTTTGACAGTCAGATTGCTCTGCCCACCCTGGGTTCTGGGGATCGAACTCAAGACATCGTGCTTGTACAGAGCCACTGCCCCACCTCACCAGCCCTGTTTGTCGTCCTTCCAGGAAGCTCTCTACTCCTTCATGGTATTTTTCTCTCTTCTGTGTTCACGTTCACAAATACTCGCACCTGCTTCTTCCCCACCAATGTATCTACAGTGTGGTCATCATTCTTCCAGTTCTTTCCACCGCCTCCTCTCTAATTCTGTGAATCCATTCTTTTGTCTCAATCAAGAGTGGAGCCACTCATCCTCCTATCTATCCATTCTTTCGCTCTCCCACCCATTTTGTGTTCATCTATGCATGTTCGAGCACACACACACACACACACACACACACACACACACACATCCTCTCATTCCCCCTTCCCCCTGCCATTAACAAAACCAGTTTCTGGAAGATACCCTGACCATCAGAGTCGCATACAACTTCACACTCGTAGCATCCCAAGGCACACACAGCCAAGAGACTACACCTCCTAGCTCTACCTCCCTTCACCAAAGGCAAGGTGCTTACCAGTCTCTCCCAGCTGAACATTTCTGGGAGGATGGGATTGGCATCAACGGTGCAGACTAGGTCCACAGAACCCCCGACATTGACCTCAGTAGGGTCCCTGAGGGCACGGATGATGGGAGCATCTAGTGGAAGACAGGGGCTTGGAGACGGCACTTAGGCCCTGACAGGCCCAGGATGGGGGGTT